GGTGGCACATATCACCAATTTGGTGGTCTTCCGTGTGGCCCTGTTTGGTAGGAATACTTAGATTACTTAAACGTTGCCTTTATTGGATTTGCAATCATTTGAAATAAATTAGATTTTAATGAAAAGTAATTGCGTAGCAATAATAATCTATTGTTCCTGTTAGAGACCATCAAGGGGGGAATTGATAAATTAAGTCAAGATGTGCAGATAACATCTGACCTGAATTTAGAACAATTAATAACTCTGTATATGTAAATCTGATATTCGTGTGTTTTGGCAAAATATTAGGAAATAGCTGATTCTGGAAGTATTGGTCCCCTATGAAACAAATTTACACAAAATTGACGAATATGATGAAAGTAAGTACGCTCCTCAAATTTCCGATAATATATCACAAGGCGATGTTGGCTCTCGGAGTTTATCTCTTCGAAAATACGAAATGACTGAAAACCATCATTAATGTATTTTGGTAAACCAACAAATTTCTAGCTTTTTTTCGAGATAACATTTCTAAATTAACAATGACTAAATAAACAATGTGTAAGGAGAAGAGAAAATGTATTCTTTCCCTGCAAATACGTATTTTCAACATGTACCTTTAGTAACTGACATGCAGAAAACTGATATGGTTGATAAATATTTTGTTGAACTTGGTGAAGAAATAATAAAAACATTCCATCATTTAAAAAATCCGTTGATGTTAATATGTCAGGCAGTTTGATATTTTATAAAGCCAACATGTGTGTCTGAAATGGTTAAGCTGGCTCTTCTTTGAAATCTTCGAAATAGGTGATCTGATGAAATTACACCACGAGTTATAAAAGAAAGCATACATTTATTTACAGATCCTCTTTGTAGTGCCTTTTAACAAATCCATTTCTTAGGGGTTCTACTAAATAACTTTAAGATAGTGCCAGTTTTCAATAAAAATGACAAAAGGAATATTCAAAATTACAGAAAGACTGCCCTGCTACCGATTGTTTCCAAATTATTGGAAAAGATGATTCATGAACGATTGTTCAACTATTTAGAACAAAATGATTTTGTTTATGGCACAGCAGCTAGGGTTTCGCGGAAACTCCTTTACTGGTATGGGTGTTTTTAATTTAACTGATATCATTCTGAAAAATCTTGAGCAAGGAAATTTTTGTCTGGATATATTTCTAGACCTGTCACAAGCATTTGACACCATTGATCACCAAATACTCCTCAATAAACTATCACACTATGGTGTAAAAGGAATTGCTCTGAATTGGTTTCAAGATTATTTTTCAAATAGGCAACAATATGTGGTGATCAATGATGTCAAATCTCAATCGCAAATATTTAATGTGGTGTACCACAAGGCTCTGTTTTAGGTCCCCTCCTGTTTCTTGTCTGTATTAATTACATCATAAAGTCGTCAGCATTATTTCATTATTCATTGTTTGCTGATGATACAAGCTTGTAATGTCTCGTCAAAATATTAATGAACTGATATCATTAGCAAACAAGTACAAACGTTGTATACCTGGTTTTGCAGTAATAAGTTGTCACTGACCTTTGACAAAATTAGGTATGTGATTTTTAGATCAAGGAGTAGGCGGGTCCCGAACGATGTCCATTTATTATTGATCGGTGGGCATGAAATCATTAGAGCAGACAATTATTGTTCCCTTCTTGAAGTCACTATCAAGGAATTTATTTCATGGAAGCCTCATAATATATTTGTTCCAAGATTTCAAGAGGTATTGGTGTCTTATCGAGCTGGAGATATATTCTACTTCAAACTTCACTCATCACCAGGGGCGGCGATCAGGGGGATTGGGGACACGCCCCCTCCCCCATTTTGTTAGGGAAATCGTCCACCCCCCCCCCCGGAAAATGTGAAAAGTGCACACAAAAAATGTATAGCAAATACTGTTTAAAGACTGCAGCACACTTTCAGGCTCTGGAGGGCCTAAGCATGCAGCGTTTAGACTAATGAAAATGCATAAATCTTCTCGCTCGGTCGATCGCTACGCTTCCTCGCAAGTCACTTCCGTCACCTTAGCTTCGCCTCGCACGTTCACTTTGCTCCCTCATTCCTCGCATTTCATCCTCCGGTCATGAACAGAAATCGCCGCCCCTGCTCATCACTATTTACAATGGTATTATCTTGCCTCATTTCCTGTATTGTAATATTGTCTGGGACTATTCATAATTATAAAACCAATCTTCTTAGGTTAAAATTATTACAAAAGAAAGTAATTAGACTAATATCAAACTCTAACTTTCGAAGTCCAAGTGGACCTTTATTTCGTCAACTGCATATTTTGCCCGTTACGGACAGTATTTTGCACAGTGCTCTGATGTTTATATATAACTATAACCATGGCCTACTGCCATCCTTGTTCAATGACAGTCATGTTCACTTGAAATTCCTCTATTCATTCGTATGACACGAAACAAAATCATTATACGATTTTTTTTTCAAACGGTTGAATAAATTAAAATTGAAAATGTGGTGTGCGTGTATGCGTGTGCGTGTAGGTGTGTGCGTGTGTTTGTGTGTGTGTTTGGGTGTTCATACAAGTATGCGTGTGCGTATGTGTGTGTATGTGTGTGTGTGTGCATGCGTGTATGTGAGGGTGAACAATAAATTTATCAGTATCCTAGCCCCCGATTCTGTCCTTCTGTCACTATATCCCTTCTCTCTCTCTCTTCTCTCTCTCTCTCTCTCTCTCTCTCTCTCTCTCTCTCTCTCTATATATATACTTTTCCTCCCTTTTCACCACCTCTCTCCATTTCTCTCTCCCTTCTCTCTGTCTCTCTCTCTCTCTCTTTCTCTCTCTCTCTCTCTCTCTACTTCTTTTCCTCCCCTTTCACCGCCTCTCTCCATTCGCCTATGCCTACTCTTTCGCGCTCTCCCTCTCTCTCTCTCTCTCTCTCTTTGTACCTTACCTCCCTTTTCGCCAACTCTCTCCATTTCTCTATCCCTACTCTCTTTCTCTATCTCTCTCTCTCTCTCTATCTACCTTTCCCCACTTTATTTCGCCACCTCTCTCCATTTCTATATCCTCTCTCTCTCTCTCTCTCTCTCTCTCTATCTATCTATCTACCTTTCCCCATTTTATTTCGACATCTCTCTCCATTTCTCCATCCTCTCTCTCTCAATCTCTCACCTTCTACTATCTCTTATTTTTTCTCTTCCTTTTCCCATTTACATGTCTTTGACATATGGCACTAATAATTGTTTCGACTCGATTATTATACCTAAGTCATATAGTTATCAATACATGAATGAAACACATGACATAACATGAACGAAACCGAAAATGCAAAATGTGCATGGACACTCATTCCGCTGTAACTTTCAACCAACATGACCAACGAACTTAGGATGTGAATTTACTATTTAGGGTTCTATAGTTCTCAAGCCCTGCCCACTCCCCCCCCCCCCCCTCCCCCAATGTAAGCGAGGCACAGTGAAAATTAATTCAAGGCTCCTAAAGCCCCCCCCCCATACATATATATCCATTTATATATAAATAAATAAATATATATATATATATAAACTGTACAATATATGAACAATATACTGTATATCGTATACATGCTTCTAGAACAGCTCCTGCGAATTAACAATAAACCATTTCCCCGTGTTGATTCACATTTGACTTAGCAATAAGAGCGGACAGACGATCCGTTGTCATGACAGAAAATATCATCAGAATAATACAGATACATTGATTTGTTTTAAGCCTCGCCGCTTTTATTTGCACACGTTACACAAAATTTGATCGACAGGAACAACACGGACTGTAATTGCAAAATATCAAAAGTAGCAAAATTATGTTCATTATGGTCATCATTTGTAATATCATGTATTGATAAGACGAGCCTAATAAACCCGTTTGAGGCTTATTCAGCGGCAGAGTCACATGCAATATGCAAATATTTTATCAATATTTTATAAGTGTGAAAATAAAGTGCATGGGGGTGTTGGAATGAGATACTCAGAATATTGTTGTAATTTTGCGTTTGTGGGGGCATTATCACAATATCAATTTACATTTCAATGAAAATGGCATACTGATTTCCGCATGGACCTCCCCTTAATACAAAGAAAAACAAAATTTATTGCACATAATATTTGAGAGGGAAAGTAAATATTAAAACCCTATCTGATGCTCCAAGCATAATTATAATCATGATGTACAACAAATGATTACATCATCCACTTATACTTCGATAGATCTCAAGAATGTCGTCGGTGATAATTGGCAGTTCAAAAAAATAAAGCACTTTAAGGTACAAAAATCATATTTCAGAATCATATAAACTATTTTACAAAATCCAATATCCGGGGAGCGTGACTAAATATGAAATAAATCTCACATCAATCGCATGCTACCGCATTACATGTAATAAATAGTTAAGTACTGTCAAACTTATAACTGCTTCATGTATTGTGTGAACTGTACATTGCCAGTCTTAAGAGGGTAATAGTTTGAAAATATTTTTAAAGAGAAATTGGACTGAATAATTGTGAATCTACCTGCTTCTGTGAGAAACAGTCTTTGGAAAACAATGCCGTACATACAGTACTAAATTTTGTGCATCCAATACAGGGATTTCGATTTGTATTTTTCTTGATTTTCCGATTACCTTACAGTTAAAATCGCACGCTTCGGCATTCAAAAAGGGATACTGTTTATTTCATAAATGCTATCAACGGTGTTGTTGTGGCAAACATGACAAAACAGAGAAGAAAAAAAATCGATATCCAATACTTGGTTACAACAAAAACATTCACATGTAGAATTTTTTACAAGCGCAGATGACATTATAGTTGTTGGATTAATATTAAAGATTCACGCAAATGCATATGGTTTCATTGATGATGTTAAAAGATAAGGGCTGTTTAAAAGCGCAGAAAGTCATTTATTCTAGTACTTTTATTTGATTACATAGTTTACACAAAGAGTTATATTATATCCTCAATATCCAGCTTTAGGATTAAAACATTAATCATCTCCTTGTGCTCATGCTTCCTCCTCCTCTGCCTCCTCTTCGAACTCGCCCTCCTCTTCGGCGGTGGCGTCTTGGTACTGCTGGTACTCAGACACCAAGTCATTCATGTTGCTCTCAGCCTCAGTGAACTCCATCTCGTCCATGCCCTCACCAGTGTACCAATGGAGGAAGGCCTTTCGTCTGAACATAGCAGTAAACTGCTCCGATATGCGCTTGAAGAGTTCCTGGATGGCGGTGCTGTTGCCGATGAAGGTGGCTGCCATTTTGAGACCTCGGGGAGGGATGTCACAGACAGCAGTCTTGACATTATTTGGGATCCATTCGACGAAGTAGCTGCTGTTCTTGTTCTGGACATTGAGCATCTGTTCGTCAACCTCCTTCATGGACATGCGGCCACGGAAGATTGCGGCAACGGTGAGGTAGCGACCGTGACGAGGATCACAGGCTGCCATCATGTTCTTGGCGTCGAACATCTGCTGTGTTAGCTCGGGTACGGTGACGGAACGGTATTCCTGGCTGCCACGGCTTGTCAGAGGTGCAAAACCAGGCATGAAGAAATGGAGACGGGGGAAGGGAACCATGTTGACCGCTAGTTTACGCAGATCTGCGTTCAACTGTCCAGGAAACCTGAGGCAGGTTGTGACACCGCTCATGGTTGCCGACACAAGATGATTCAAGTCACCATAGGTGGGTGTGGTGAGCTTCAGGGTACGGAAGCAGATGTCGTACAGGGCTTCGTTGTCGATGCAGAATGTCTCATCAGTGTTCTCGACTAGCTGGTGGACGGATAGTGTAGCATTGTATGGTTCGACAACAGTATCTGATACCTTAGGAGATGGGACCACACTGAATGTGTTCATGATGCGGTCAGGGTATTCCTCACGGATCTTGCTGATCAGAAGGGTTCCCATGCCGGAACCAGTGCCTCCACCAAGTGAGTGTGTAAGCTGGAATCCCTGAAAGAAAAAAATGAATATTGAAGTTGGTTATGGGTCTCAACCAATAAACAAAGAAGCACGAGAGGAAATGCGCATCTTTTGCTGCTTTTCACATACAATTTCCTGCTCATCATGGAAAATCTGCCCACCCCCAACACCACCCTTAATATTTAAATAGTCATGTATTAATGATATCCCATATTTGTTTTCGTGGTTTCTTAATTACCATCCCCATTATGGGTCTGCCTTTGCGATTATTTATAGTCTTATTATATTTATAGTCTCCTGCTAGCCATTTCTAATCACACTGTAATGATTTTGTTAAGCGTAACACTTCACTAGCTAAACAGCTAGTGTCAAATCAATTGGGAAAATGGACAAACAGACAAAACTCGACCTATTTTTCTAGGAACTAAAAATACTATATCTGGTTGTCATGATAATGTAAAAGAAGAGTAAAACATGTTATCATGTAGCTACTTACCTGAAGACAGTCACAGCTCTCTGCTTCTTTTCTGACAACATCGAGCACAGAATCTACGAGTTCAGCGCCTTCTGTGTAGTGTCCCTTGGCCCAGTTGTTCCCTGCTCCGCTCTGGCCAAAGACGAAGTTGTCTGGTCTAAAGATCTGACCAAAGGGACCGGAACGGACCGAGTCCATGGTGCCTGGCTCGAGATCGACGAGCACGGCTCGTGGAACGTACTTGGCGCCGGTAGCCTCATTGTAGTAGACGTTGATACGCTCGAGCTGGAGATCAGAGTCGCCATGGTAGGTACCGGTCGGGTCGATGCCGTGTTCGTCGGAGATCACCTCCCAAAACTATGAAGAGAATGAGTGAGTAAATTAGTGCATAAAAATCAAGAGTTGTTTAGGTATGGGCCGATCAACTTATCAGTTATAGACCTAAACTTTTTTTCATCATTCTGGCCTGTTTTAATGACAAAATGTCTAAATATCTTCGGTTTATGTCGGTAGATGATAGGGGATAATTAGGAATCTTTTGGGGGCGTGCGTCTGTCTAGTGCATGTGTGTTTGTGTGTGCTTCAGAGAGAGGTGTGAAAAACTGCACACCCAATTCAACTCGAAAATCATTATATTTAAATAAATTTGCAACTGATATCATTGCTTTGAAAATACCGCTTTGCAAAGCTTTCTTCTTCACAGCTATCAAAGATAATTTGTTATATTAATCATTACAATATACGTTTAAAAAAAAATTAGTTACTTCGACATGGGCTAATAACAATTTTAAAGATAAATTTGAGTTCTAGTCATGTGATTGCAACCGATCAGAAAAGGTTGATCCTCTGGTATATAAGTATAAGATAAGAAATTTGGCACAGTATTGGTACAGTTACAAGCCCTGTACACAGGAATATGTATATGGGACTACACGAACATGTGGCAAAAAATCCGTCCCAATTGTTATGCTGTTACATGCCATATTTAGAATATTAAGGCATTTGAAGAGCCATGCTCTTCAAGAAACATTTGTTATATGATATTCTTCCACACTTGCACAGTAACAATGATAACGCTCACAAATTATTTTTCACCCCTTCAACTCAACCTTCTCTTTAAATGATATGATGAGGTGCCGCCTCGCGAAATGTAGGCTTATGGTCCATCTTTTCGTGCTGTGCCTTGTATTTTAAAAGTATGTAGTGGGTAGGGGATTATTTATCACGGCAAACTTTAACAAAGGTACAATTCATTTTGATATTCGAGGCTTAGCGTTGTAGTATTTCGATGATCGCAAGGTTTATCTTCACAAATCTGGTATCATTGTGAAACAGAAAGAGACTGCCTTATAATTAAGTAATGTAGGCCCGCCCCCCCCCCCCCCACTCAGTGTTATTTAGGGTACGCATATGCTTGTTCCCTCTTTTTGAAAGCACCCCCTATCTGAGGACTGCCAACATTTCCAAACACCCCTTTCGCGGGCTTTTCGCGGGCTTTTCCTGCCTTGGAGACCCCCCTAAATCATGAAAAATGATCAATGTACCCCCTAAATTCGGAATAATTTCTCAGGAGTCCAAAAAGGTGAGAGAAAAAAAGAAAAAACACCCCCTTTTTAAAGAAATCTCCGGGTGAAAAGTTAATACGCCCCTTTTTTTTACAATTCTCGGGCCGGACTTAGTCGCACGAAAAGTACCCTTTTACCGGACATTTTGGTAACACGCATGGGGTCCGTCCGTTCTTGGAGTGGGGGGGGGGGGGTGTAGGTCTTTTGGGATTAAGTTATGTTTCTCGTTAGAGGGTTACTGGGAGCGCAGATTTCTTTGTTTTTTCAGAAACGTAAACTATATGAGTAGGCCGATAGCTTCCCATTCGTTATATAACTAGGTGTATTAAAGCATCGTCCACAATTTGTTGAAAATGTCGAACAAAACAACCAACCTGAAACAATCGTCTCAAATTCATGCACATTTAGAAAGGTTCTCCCGTTTGGTTACCGCGCCCCCCCCCCCCCCCCCCCCCACTCCCTCCCTCTCAAGTATGACAAGAAATTGCCCTCTCTGGCTAGTGGGTGTTGTCTGCTATTAGCTCCTCGGCTTGGAAGAGCAGTTGCCTTCAGGATCTATTACAGTTTAATCATGGACCATGGTTTGTTAATGAACACATATCGATGACTCACTCATTAATGAACCAAGTGCATTACCGTAGAAGCACGCTGAACTATTATAATTACAAATGCATGAGGGGCCGAATATAATAATATTGATATTGCCATCAGAATAATGCAATAAAGGTTGGCCTGCCCAATACAAATTGAAATGATGATGAGCCCAGCTATATTGATTTCTTTAAAGGCTATAATAAAGTTATAATTAAATTTGTTTAAATTCTTTTTCTATATTTTTTTTAAATTAGGGTTAGCGTTATTCCCAGCTCACACAATGCGATCCGATTTTCGAAAAAAAATGACAATTATATTAGATACGAAAATCTAAACAAACATCATCTTCCCGATTGACGTTCTGAATGATGATGAAAAATACTAACAACTGGTATTTAGTGCATTTAACTTCTCTAGTCAGAATTTTTTTAAATGCCGAATCGGTTTCAAATCGTAGACAATCGGTCTGACATCACCGAACAATTATGAGCCTATTTAGCTTTTTCAACTCTGCGGAAGCTCAAAATCCCTTGACATTTAGCTTTTTATATGATTATTCAAATCCTCGGTCGATAATTGAATGTTTATATATTGATAAATGCTATAATGGAATTTTTTTTCAAAAATCGGATCGTTGTCAGGTCGTACAGTGTGCGACGAGCTTAAAGATAAGGATTAGTGTTATGATGGCTTTGGAGGGGGTGGGGCTTTAATGGGTAGCTTTCGTGTTCTTGCAATATGGTTTTCTACATACATGTGCCTCATGTGGAGTTAATGGAAATTTATGTCGCAAGAGTATGTGTCATGTAACCCATAGACCTACGTTCAATATTGCACTGACTAGGCGCATGCGTAGCTCGATCGCACGATCAATGAGTCACGCGAACCCCTTATGCTGACACACATGTGGCGCGTGGCCTTATACAGTCTACCAGTCAAAGGTGCATAGTGACTCACCGCATAACTCACTACACTGGTAATGTAATGAACGTTCCCGCCTCATTTAAAATGCACATATTTGAGATCACACGCTCGCGATGAGAGTTTAATACAGACACGAGCAGACTGAAGATAGTGACGTGGAGCTTTTGTCATTTATACATCATACTCATAAATGAGTCAGATATTAGATGTGCGATTCGTAGGCTGGTGTATCAATTTATTTAAAAGCGGCAGCGGTCTAACTGTTTAGTGAAATAGGACTGTAAACTATGTCCCTGTCTGTGCATGGGCATGTTCCCAGTGTGGTCGTCAATTTCAGTGCGTAATTATAACAGTAATATTTCGCTTTTATATAGCGCGTAAGATGTATCTAAGCGCTTATATACAGATATTATCCCGGTCATTATGTTGCAGATAGAGCAGTATATATGCCATGGTGCAATTATGAATCTACTAATTAAATTTACCTTTTCCTTAGATGTGCTCCCAATTAAAATGTTAAACTTTTATAATCAATCAAAGTTGGCAGTATTATGTAAACTATACAATGGCGCCACGGGAGGCCGAGCAGTGATGCACATGCAGTGATATTTTATGCTTGCATGAGTAATGATGCACGAGGAACATTTTGGAGGTACAATGTACACCTTCGATTGGGAGCAACCCTTGGCTACTCTTCCATACATTGCCTATACAGGCCTACATCATAATTATGTAGTAGGTCATTTTAAAGGTAGGTTTAATTAATTAATTGATCACCATTCAATAATCAAGCGTTTTCATATCTGATTGTAATATTTGAGTTCAGGCTCTAAACTAATTTGGTTGAATTACATGCATAACCCTCATATTTAATTATGAGGATTTACGACGTTCTATATAGTCAATATGTTAAACTCCATAATATCAACAATCCACAAAGGAGACATACAATAGGCATAATTAAAATATGCAAATCCATCGGATCATGAGTGCGAAATGAAGAAGAGATGAATTATCCTCATGCGAGAGAAAAGCTCTAGAGTTTGAATTCAAGAGTTACTGTTCAAGAATCAAGACAGTATTGTACTGAGATGACCGATGATGCAGATGCTACGAACTCATGGCCGAGAAAGCTAGAAATAGAAAACGGTTTACACCTCATGTGTATATACAGTTGAGAAACGGATTTTAGGAGGATACGGGTCATGTTTACCATATTCGGAGCTTTATGACCCAATCAACCGCCACGGTAGAATTGGAAAAAAGGGAAAAAAAGGACCAAATTTAGAAAAGACAAAAAGGGGGGAAAATGATCAAATTTAGAAAAGACAAAGAAATTCATCTTACCTTTGCTCCGATCTGATTACCGCATTGGCCCGCTTGTATGTGCACAATTTCACGCATGGTTGAACTGCTTAAGTTACAAATTCAAATAGTTACCCTCCGAATTTGAAAAAGACTTTAATTTCTCCAATGAAATTGTGCATGTATCCACTGCAGTGATTTGTCGGCAGGAGATGGAGAAAGGCATACGCCCTATTATTACAGAGGCATCGGTTATTTTTGACAACGTTTCTTTTGCGCCCCCATCGGTACGGTCACAAGATCACAAGCCACATGCAAATTACTATTAGGGATCTTCTACAATGGTATAGCCTCTAGAAGGCACATCTAGAAGGAGGTCTTGAATATGCATGTTAATGACGTCATGTCAGATTCTTGAATATTAACGTATCTTGTACCTCGCGCGAGTAAGAAGGCTACAGGCAGATTGAGCCCATGCTAAAAGGTGGCACCTGCAGAACAGTGGCGCATATAAATCAGGGGCAAACTCACACCCTTATAATTATACAGGTGTATGTGTTTATGCGGCAGTAGTATTTAAGGGTTAAGCATATTTAATGAGTTTTTAAATCTTAATAACGTATTTATACAACTTTGGAGATTCTTATTGTCATTTGTGTACTCCAAAGAACACGTGATCAGCTCGGTCGCCGGTCAAACCACCTCACTGCAGGAGTGCCTGCCTACCTCTAAATGTGCCTGAGAAAAGGGAAGTGTAATAAGGCATACAACTAGTGGAGTATATCAAACATCCGATGGATAGAGGACGAAATGAAGCTTCATAAGATACAAATGAGTTCCACTAATAAATTATTCATCTTCTTTTCATTGATTTTCTTTGGATTATACGTGTTTAAAGTGTTCAAAACATCACCTTCCTGTAGGTGTGCCCGCCTACCTCTACATCTGCCCGAGGAGAGGGAAGCGTAATACGCTACCAAGGTAGTGTTGTTTATTGAATACCCGAGAGTTAAATGATGAAATAAAGCTTTCTAAGATACAAATTCGTTTCAAACAAATCAAAAGTATTAATATAATCTTGTAGCGCAGTAGAATATATACTTAATGTTGGATAGTTTCTGCGCTCTATAAATGTATTATTATTATCATTAATAATGATATATATCCTATTCATTGATTTTCTTTGAATATAAATAAACGTGTTTTGATTGGCCAACTATCTCCTCCCTGCTGATGTGAAAGCCTTATTATCATAATTTTGCACAAAAATATGGTTCGATGCGATGTTTCCGGTCGAATATAATTAAGCTATAAGCTTAAAACAAGTCTTCTTACACTGTATTGTTGCATATTACATGAAGTGGTAAAATTTTTGGAATTTTAACATACCAGTTATCAACATTATACAATATATCTAATAACCACTTAATATACCAGTCATTTGTTTTACTGCTGCTTGAATGTGCTTGTAAAATCACCAAGCTAATGTTATTAATCCAGAACATAATCATTTAGAGATAACGCTACTGATGTACCTTCAGCTTCCTGGAGCTTTAAAAATAAAACTTCAAGAAATGCTTATACAAATTTAGGTGTCCATATCAGTCGAATGAATGATAAAAATCTCTATCATCCTTAAAATTATTTAAACCTCTAACTAGAGAGAAAGGAATGTAATTACATGTAGGTTTCACATTAAATATGTATCATTATTCAACTCCAAACTGTACCGAATCGTTTTAGAAAGCGAAATAGATGCCTAATAATATATAATTGAGTAATCAATTACAGCATATTACTCGTCTTCCAAAATTATATAAAGATTTAAAATCCCATGAATAGTAATTGGGAGGGCATCAGCAAATATTGCTTCTGAGGATTTTAAGGGAATACTATACAGGTACATGTATTTTTTAACGGATCATGTCACAACCTTTATGAATTTTCAGTTTAAGGACATGCATTTGGACCCCTCTTATAAAGAGCTGATATCAATTGCAACTATGTTTATTAGAGACAGGAATCTGCAAACTTGCGATTGATTGGAGGGCTCACGATTGAGTTGGATCTATCGTAACTCTTTATAGGAAGGGGCCCCGATATGACATTCGAATTTTGCAAGTGACTCTTTACCTTATTTAAAACTACAGGTCCCCTCAGTGCACAGCAAGTTTTCCATGTTTTGTCGCAATTCGGATAAGAGTTGCAAACTTATTTGTCAGAGAGTGTCTTACATGTTAAACTTTACGATTGACATTTATGACAAAAGTTATTCTAGCTAGTTATAATATCACAAAACTATAACATATCTTGTGGATTAAAATTTTTTAAGCCTAAATGGACGGATGCCATATTGGGATCCTTTGGTCTTGAATACACATTCTTTGCGCAAGACAATAAAATTACACTTCTGTAATTCGTGTTCCTGAATCTCTGAGCATTTTAGACAAAAATGATTAAAAGTTGACTATGTGTGATATGTATTAGAGCAAATATTGCGACTGTTTCATCACTATAGCTGTAGTTTTATAGTGAGCAGGCTTGCAAAAATATTCAAGTGTGTGGGGTAACACCCTTCCCAAGAACTTCTGAAAGGAGTTCTTCTAAACAGCTCAACTTTAATGGGTTTAATAATAAACAAAATATATTCAGATGATGTTTGAAGGTTTGCATGGTGGTATGAATAATCGCGGTAGAGGTTTACGGTACACCATGTGTAAAGTCCTAGAAGGACTAAGGAAAATGGATAGAAAATAGAAGTGAAATAGAAAGGCGAGAAAGTGGAGGTTGGAAGGAAGAGTATCTTTCGGAAGTGAGTATAGTCCTGAAAAGGACTGTAAACCAGAAAGTTGTAGATAGGATGAGAGGTTTGAGTAGAAGACTGGATTGAGTTGGAGAGTTGAGTAGAGTTGCAGAGCAGGAGCAGGAGCAGTAGACTCGACGTTTCGGACAGGTTGACTGTCCGTCTTCAGGACAGTCCTCTCTCTCTCTCTCATCCCTCTCAGGAGTGAAGACGGACAGTCAACCTGTCCGAAACGTCGAGTCTAATCTCCTGCTCCTGCTCTGCAACTCTACTCAACTCTCCAACTCAATCCAGTCTTCTACTCAAACCTCTCATCCTATCTACAACTTTCTGGTTTACAATCCTTTTCAGGACTATACTCACTTCCGAAAGATACTCTTCCTTCCAACCTCCACTTTCTCGCCTTTCTATTTCACTTCTATTTTCTATCCATTTTCCTTAGTCCTTCTAGGACTTTACACATGGTGTACCGTAAACCTCTACCGCGAAAATATATTCAGTTTGTAATTTTGAATAACAGTTATAGCAACTGGATAGAGGATATTTTACCTGGTTTGATATTGAAGATGCTTTTGGCTCAGTTTCCCATGATCTTATTATCCTCAGTCTTACGTACTCCCAATAAAAAACTCCAGTACAGCCAGTTGTTGATTATATCATAAAGATTTTGTTCGACTGATCAGTGGAATTCATAACAATTCAGTGTTTACAAAGGGCACCTTCCAAGGGGATCCCTTGTCTCCAATCATTTTCTCCTATGCTTCAAGTCTCATTTCCCCTATTTTTAGATGATCCCTTATAATCAATATGAATTCAATCTTCTCATTTAATCACCCTTTGCAAATTTAGATAGGTCAGGGTCATTGCCATCTACAAAAGAAGCTTTCATATTGGGTCTGGTAAACAGATACTGTAACCAAGGGTTGCGTAAAACCCACCTGCTAATTATGGTCCCGTTATTGTGTTGTGTCCTTCAAATTTCCAATAGTAGATGCAATGATTATGAGGCTGGCATCATGGTTTGTTATTCTGTTTGTATCCTTGGCAGATCCAATAGTTATTAGGCCGAAATTATGGTTTGTTAGTATGTGTTTGTAATTACACCAGATCCAATAATCAGAAACCTGGTTTGGTGTGGTACGGTTACGGTATCCATAGCAGATCCAATAATTATTAGGAGGCTGACATCATCTAGTCTGCATACTCTGCAAGCACAGACCCTAGTTTGACACATTATCAAAAAATCATTGTGCCTTGAGAGAAGTCTAGCCCAGCTACCTACTTGTTCAGGAGCAGCTACAGTACAGTACATGGCCTATGGTAGTCTTATAGTGCAGACTCACTTTTACGACTGACCAGGGTTTGTGCTTGCAGACTATATCATCACAGCCTATAGTCGGTGTGTATCGTGCATTTTATTGTCCATTACAAATTTACACATGTATCGTTTTCTTGTCCAGCCTCTCTCTCTCTCTCTCTCTCTCTCTCTCTCTCTTTATCTTTCTCTTTCTCTCTCTCTCATCCCTCTTTTCTTTTCCCCTTCAATTTTGGGCAAATTAATTGGCAATACATGCCCCAAATCTTGGTATATAACTACGCCACTAAATGAGGCTAATATCATATAATTTCACGAGTTTCATTAATATAGCGTTCCCTGTCTGGGATATACCGTGAACAAGAAGCCCTTTTTTATATTATTATCGTAGGCTTATATACATATTAATGAAGTAGAAATCTATTTTATTACTCAAGGTCCGTCCCCGTGTTGGTGTTTCTGGTCCTGTTCTGGGGGGCGTTTCACAAAATGTGTCACCAGTGACAAATGACAGTTATTGTTAAAAGATACTGAAATCCTTACTTTTGATTGGTTATCATCAGATTTGTCACTGATATTGGTCATTTGTCACTGAAAAAGGGCTTTGTGAAACGGGTCCCAGGTCTATACAAGTCATGCGATCAAAAATAAATTTTGTCAATTATATTGACATATGAAGTCAGTCATTTGTGCATGTTTGTTTATGAAATATCTTCACGATTATACTTCTGGTCATAAACTCTCTAATAGTATGAATGTCTAAGTATGATATTTTCATATATACCAATATGGAAAGCAAATTGGCACATCCATATAATAATATATATATATATATATATATGTTTGTAATAATGAAAGCTAGAACATGGCCATGTGCACAACATGATTTCATATCACAATGAACTCTCTCCTTTTTAGAGTCATCTGCGACCCGGTACATCCGAAAAGGGAGGGGCATGGGCAGGACCCTCACCAGTAATGTCATTTTCAAAATAACCTAATCTATATAAGCCAATATAATATGTATCTTTCTCCAAGAAGTACTACATGACTGCTGCTATCGGCTGTTATCGACTGAAGCATTCTTTTTTATGATAGTTGGCCTGATTATACCTCCATACTTTCAAGCTTTCAATTATGCATTTTTATGTGTGTGTATTTAAGTTGTCACTCTTTATGTAAATCAATTATATTATATACTATTATTGCTATTTGAATGTTTTATATTTTATCAATAAATGCAGAAACATCTGTTAGAAAAATAATACAATTAAAAAAATGACCGGCGTTAAGGATGTACTGTATACTGTATAATCATGTTAGCTGTCTGACTGTCTCATACACTTGACACGCCGTTATTAGTATGCATATGTAATGCTTCCTCTTACTCTTCGAACTACACGTATCATATTTCCTCGATGAGTTCATGTATCAAAATTCAATATTAGACACACGTTGTAATGCTTAATCATACGGTTTAGGATTGCCATTTCACAATAGTTCATATCCTAGCAGGTATAGTGGGAGACTATACAACCACGAGCAGGTATATATACCGACCTTTACCAATTAAGTGTGTAAAAAAAAATTATATATATATATATATATTTATTCTGTCTATCAAATTGAGAGTTATACTTTAATCTACATTCCACTTCATAATTATATCATTCGAGGCACATGGAGTTCTGCGAAGAGCACTTGAGTTATAACTATAACAGTGCAGTGTTCTACGTACATGTACATGTATACATTATCCTATGAGTATGAGAACCGAAACTAAGCTGGAAAAAAAATGCATTTTTAAATATTAAAACATAACAACGTACGTGCTTATATGCATTTAATTTTCATGAAAATTAACGTTTCGTGTATTGGGCCTATCCATTTGTGAAGTAAAGTTTCATTCCACATAATATACTTTGTGTGTCTAGACTCTATACATGTTATATGGAATAAGTTTTCCACTCGTTCAGGGATCAAAGTGACCTTTGACCTCGCTTTTCCATCGTGAAAGCATAATGCATATAGCAGACGGCAACAACACTCGCCTTTTCTGTTCAAGTATCAGGGAGGAAAAAAACCTAGAACTAAAAAAACTGCATGCTAGGCCGTGTAAAATCTCCTTGGCCAAATCATGCATTCAGGTGTAAAAAAACAGACGAGGAAATCTTTTCTTCTCGAAGAAGATCTTTTGAAATTAAGCAGTGGTTTCTGTTTATCCTCTGCTATTCAGCTCTGTTTAATGGATCGTGGTATGAAAGGGTTTTATTTAATACGAAACCCCTCGATTATTCGACTTTCAAGGAAAAAAATCTCCACGTATTCGATGACACGTTGGCTTATGAGCAGAGCTTGTTTTCTCCTTGTCTGCACGTTAAAAAGATCACCATACCACCCTGTGCATGATACAATCCTACAAGATGACATAACTCGAGACTAGAGGAGGGTTGGGGCGTGTCCCCAATCGAATGATAAAGCATGACAGAAAAGTAATAAGAAAAGAGAAGAGAGATTGAAGAGAGGAGGAAAGTTGGAGAGGGAAATAAAAATTTGAGAATAATAAGACGTCAGGGCACCAAGGTTTCAAGTCTGCAAGCGTAGGCTCTAGTTTATGATTCCACCAAAAATTCTATATGGGCAGAGACTATATATGCCGGTTTATGGCTGCTCTAGAGCAGCTTAAAGGTACAGACACGTTTTTGAAACGCCCCCTCCCCTCTCAAAAAATGAAATGGAAGCTCTTATTGCCAATCACGTGAAAGAATATGTTTTGACTGATACGTGATGATACAAATGTATTTGGTAAATTATCATATTGATCAGGCCTGAATAGGTATCGTGAATGCATTTCAACATTGAACATTAGAGCATATATTTCTGCTTTTTTGCAATTTTAGGTTGAAGTATTGCCATCTAAACCTCTGAAGGCAATATTTAAACAATATTGAATGGATATTTTGCACCCAAAACCCTTGAACGGCAATTTTACCGAAAATTTACTCGATGTACGAATTCACCTGGTACATTTATTGCTTCATGCCTCTTGCATATACTTTGGTTGGTAATCTTGTAGATTAATGGGCAAAAATATATATAAATCTCTCAGAATAAGTAAAGTTATTTCTTGGGGTGAGGTTCCCTTTAATATAGAGTTTATTGTTGTCTCATTTTGCAGACACTGTTATGCAGGGTTTGTGCCCTTAACGTTGTGTGACTGCGGGGGGGGGGGGGTCTTTGTGGGTGTATGCATTCGTGTTTGCTTGTGGATGAGTGTCTGTATGTGTGTGAGTATATTCGCGTGTGTGACGGCGGCTGTCTATTGCTGTTGTCTTTATGACAAATTGTCATTGATCTAGATATCAAACGCAAGTTCTCAAAATCATTCATAAAATTAGGATTGTACCCAACTCTAATCAGCAAAAGAAAAATCCTAAATTTTTTATTGATTTTAGTTTCATGTAAAGAGTTGAAATTCATTTGACAATAATTTGGGATTATAACTAATAAGGCATAGTTAATGTTTATAAATTATATTTACGACAGGTATATTCAGCACATTGACCCCTAAACACACACACACACACATTACACACGCCTAGAGATATTGCCCCCCCCCCCCCCCCCCTCTCCTCCTCCTCTTTTTCAAACATGCATCTCTTTTCCTCAACACACTGAAAGCCACTGTATCAGATTATTACAGAAGCATTCATTTCAGGAGGACCTTTAATAAACATTGACACATCTCGAAAAAGGCAATCTTTCAAAATATTTGCAGTTTGGGGAATTTATTAGTCATTGATCACATCATTGCTATAAAATATAATAAGTTAGTACTTTTCATACAAATCTTATTTAAATCAATATATTGCGAATTAGATGAAGGCAACGTTCAAGTATTACATGCACTTCTTCGCTATTCTGAGTTACTGCATATTCGTAATTGCAAAGTCACATGTATTACTAAACTTGCCATCATATGAGTTGTCCTGAAGATATAGGAAAAGCATTGCGACATTTTGGGGCATCTCATTTAATGAGTGTACAGAGATTTTTCTTTGAAACGGCTAGTTTTGTATCAATTGTGTAATCATAAATTCATGATTGAACTTCGTTGTAATTCACAACTTTGTTTCATAAATAAATCAAATCATATGACTGTGCCACATGAACAAAATAATGACTTAGATCTTTTTGCAGAAGTAAAGTCTAGAGAGTACATTTCTCTTTTTGAATGATTGAGACAATCACAAACATGGATGTACATGTATATGCAATGGCATGTAAGACTATTGGCGAAAATTGTTAACATTTGTTCATAACCGATAACAGAATTCCCTTAAAGTCTTAGAAAGTATAGGGTAATGTTAGTTCTTCTGTGTTAAAGAGTTGGTGAATACTGGGGTCCTTTTTTCTCTATTGCTGGTGATCGATAGGGTGGATTTAAGCTAATTCTTGTTCGTCCTCTTCTTCTTCATCGAACTCGCCCTCCTCTTCAGCGGTGGCATCCTGGTACTGCTGGTACTCGGACACCAAGTCGTTCATGTTGCTCTCAGCCTCTGTGAACTCCATCTCGTCCATACCCTCACCAGTGTACCAATGGAGGAAGGCCTTTCGCCTGAACATAGCGGTGAACTGCTCAGAGATGCGCTTGAAGAGCTCTTGGATGGCGGTGCTGTTGCCAATGAAAGTAGCGGACATCTTAAGTCCACGAGGAGGGATGTCACAGACAGCGGTCTTGACATTGTTGGGGATCCATTCAACGAAGTAGCTGCTGTTCTTGTTCTGGACATTGAGCATTTGTTCGTCAACCTCCTTCATGGACATACGACCACGGAAGATTGCAGCGACAGTCAGGTAGCGACCGTGACGAGGATCACAGGCAGCCATCATGTTCTTGGCGTCGAACATCTGTTGGGTGAGTTCAGGAACGGTGAGGGCACGATACTGCTGGCTACCACGGCTGGTCAGAGGGGCAAAGCCAGGCATGAAGAAATGGAGACGGGGGAAGGGAACCATGTTGACCGCTAGTTTACGGAGATCTGCGTTCAACTGTCCAGGAAACCTGAGGCAGGTTGTGACACCGCTCATGGTTGCAGACACAAGATGATTCAAGTCACCATAGGTGGGTGTGGTGAGCTTCAGGGTACGGAAGCAGATGTCGTACAGGGCTTCGTTGTCAATACAGAAAGATTCATCAGTGTTCTCTACTAGTTGATGAACGGAAAGTGTGGCATTGTATGGTTCAACAACAGTGTCTGAAACCTTAGGGGATGGTACGACACTGAATGTGTTCATGATGCGGTCTGGGTATTCCTCACGGATCTTGCTGATCAGAAGGGTTCCCATGCCGGAGCCAGTGCCTCCACCAAGTGAGTGTGTAAGCTGGAATCCCTGAAAAGTCCAACAAATTGAGAAACAGTGTGAAAGATTGTCCAGAGTAAACACAAAAGCTACAAAAGATGCATTGACTAAATGTTTCTCACTTCATAAGCACATGTATAATGAATTTTGTGTACAAACTAGTTTCATGAGGGGTAATTTACTGCTTTAGACTATTTTCTAAGAATTCTATGTGCCTACAATTTACCTACTACATTTTGGTCTGTAGAGCTGTTTGTTTTTAATCTGCAGACAAAATATTGTTATATACATCTGGGATTATATGTCATTTTTACAATTAAAGCTGCTTACCTGGAGGCAATCACAGCTTTCTGCTTCTTTCCTGACGACATCGAGGACAGAATCAACAAGTTCAGCTCCCTCTGTGTAATGTCCCTTGGCCCAGTTGTTTCCTGCTCCACTCTGTCCGAAGACGAAGTTGTCTGGTCTGAAGATCTGTCCGAATGGTCCAGATCGGACAGAGTCCATGGTGCCTGGCTCGAGATCGACGAGCACGGCTCGTGGAACGTACTTGCCGCCGGTGGCCTCATTGTAGTACACATTGATGCGCTCCAGCTGGAGATCAGAGTCGCCATGGTAGGTACCGGTCGGGTCGATGCCGTGTTCATCGGAAATCACCTCCCAGAACTAAAAGAGAATAAAATAAATGAACACCATTAAATCTCAAGTCTTATCAAAATCAAGTGCATTATCAACAATCACTAAATCTCAAATTAGCGCTTAGTGTTGGAAAGTTTTGAGATGAGAGATATCGGCTACAGCTCACGAGACCGCCAATGTAAAGCTTCCAGAAAAGTAATCTGGTGGTTCATGAACCCGATGTCAGATGACTCATAAGACCGACAGGCCATGATACATACATGTAAAATTAATACACCCTGAATCACAGCATGGCCCGCTTCAGCACAATGTGCAATACTTGGACATTGATATATACATATAGTATAAAACTGCTACTGAATCAGGGATATTCTACCTTTGACATATTCATTGTTTGTTCTGTGTGCTTTCCATGGATTGAACCTAATCATGAATTTTGGCTTTCAGACTGCCCAGAGAATTAGGCATAGGCTACTTAAGTTGAGAGGAAATATCAGGTCTCTCGCCAAGAAATTAAAAAGGCGTGGCGCAACCTGAGGGAAAATTTGAGCCCCCCCCCAAAAAAAAATATATATATATATATTTACACCTTGGTTGCTTTCATCACGTCTCTGCACAGTAGCTTGTTTGCCACATGTGCAACTTTGCACAATATAATAAGGACCAATTGAGGGAAAGGTTGAGCTTGATTTAAATATCTCTAAGCACCTTTTGAACAATAGAACAAATTAATCTTGCACCAGTTATTCCACATCATGTGGTATACATTATTACAGGGAGATTTGTGTGGCACACAAAAATAAACCCAACACACACAGCTGATCACTGAGCTTATTCAAAGTCGTCATCTTGAACATTGAACTTTAATCAAAATGGAGATTCCCATGGCATTGGAGAATTGGGCTAGCATGCAAGGAAACTGCCAAATTTGAGGATATCGTTTTCCTTGGTAAATAATCATATACTTCATGATGACTTTAACTGGCTGACGATTTTGAAAAAGATTATCAGATAATATTTCTTGGGTTTCAATCTTCTTTCATAATTCATGTCTCTAAAAAAAATATTTAAAAAATAACCCCGGGAAATAATCCCAGAAGGTTACATTTACTGAACAGTCAAAATCATGTATCTCGACTTGATTACATTCTATACCCCCCTACCCGCGAAAAAAAGATTCTACATGAGAAATGCGTAATCTATTTGATCTAATCAGAAGATTAAATAAGCATTTACAACCAACAAGTAAACAAATGCAACAATCTTTGAGTGAGTCTTGTGAACAAAGGTTCCATTTCCCTTTTCCCGCTTATTCCAGCTTGCATGGCTGGCGATACTGGAATCGGACGGTCGATGGACTACGCCCTGATTTGAGACCGCATGCCTTGTACGTGTGCACATTTGTGTGTACATGTACTAAGTACATGAACCACATATCCGTAGCCTCTAAGCAGTTGTGTGTATAGGTCCCCGTTGCAGCATGCAGCGCAAGTGAAGAATATATTCACAGAGAGAAAATGGAGATAATTCTAAAGTATTATACTAACCTTAGCGCCGATCTGGTTGCCGCACTGGCCAGCTTGTAGATGTACAATCTCACGCATGTTGATATAAGTAGAGTCGAATTATCACAAATATGAAATAATGCACAAGAGAGGTGCTCTCGTCTGTACACCGTGAATTTTGAGCAGGAAATGACACGTTACCGGGAGTGCGGTAAATTATATAGTGGATGCATGCTATGCTGGAATATGGCGCGGCGCGGAAAGTCTTTTCTCAGTGCGGAGCAACCATGCCGCCGTTATATGGAGATTTCGAAACACGCCCGCATTTTTTCCATCCTCCTTTTTTCTCATTTCCGCATGCATAAACACGGTCATTATTCAAATCAGGCAGATGGTTCAGGGATAGACTAAAAAGTGCTGTTTTAAAAAAACTGCTTATTCATTTTCTATTCTTTTTTCTATTTCATTGTTTTGTGTTTCTGCTTCAATTATTATTATTATTAGAGTTTCTGACCTGAGCTCTTAGTTTATTCTGAACATTTCACTTCACATTATAATTATGCAGATCATACACAGAATAAAATAATGCTTCGAGATTAGTTGCTATCTGCAATTCATTCACATAACAACTAATCTCAAAGCATTAACGTACATGTATGTATATTTTACATTTTAATATAACAATAATAATACATTAAAAGATGTATAAAGCGCTCCTAATGTTTCTTAAGGAAAAGGAAGGAAAAGTGAGAGATACCAAAGAAACTATGTTGAAATGATTGAATTACAAGACAGTAAACGGCAAAGAAGAATATGACATTACACAAAATAATGACTACGTCAAAACTAATTGAAATTATAGATAAACCAGAAATGGACTCAGACTTATAATATACCATATGAAATATATTAGACGAGTAAAACTGAATAAGGTCAGTTGTGACATGAAAACCAAATGTGTAGCTTCTTACATCGTGGTATGAACGTATTATGACCTATACTTTAGATATACTCTTATATCCGATCGACCTCGTCCTCGAGCAATTTTGCGTATCCTAATTCATTAGATTTGTATACCACGGATTTTTACTGGAAAAACCTCTTCATTGAATTTTTGATGAATCTATTCATCTCCTGGCAACCGGGAGACAATTCATTGCCTGTTTACTTCAAAAGTGAACCATAACAAGCATCTTGATAACATTTAATCGGTTCGGCTCCAAAGCCCCAAAATCACGAAGTTGTGTATTTTAGTAATTTATTAGGAACACAAAATAGCTACCATTTAACCTGTCTTATAAATTATTCTTCATCATGCTTTTTGGTAGAATAATATACGGCGGAATCGCAGGTGTAATTGTTCCGATTCGTTATAATAATTGAGCTTGTGCATGCGGAAAGAGCTATTTAGGTATATTTATTTGCCCGATTGTATTGGAACGATGAATCGCATAGCAGTTTGGTAAAACACTTTGGTTACATATTGATCTAGCCTATTTCAAAACAAAATTTAATAAATATTAATTGAGTACTACCCATGAATAAAGGTAGAAGAGTGACATTAGGAAATTTAAATCTACTCCAATTTTTACATCAGGCAATCTTTCATAGTCCTCGTTTTATACCTCCTCACATGCACAATGATTGTAATCTTCTAGTTATTATACATTTTCCCAAAACAATTATTCAAAGTTCAAAAGTAAGCGATGTAGCTTCCCCCCCCCCCCCCCCCGGCGCTAGCTGCCCCTGAATGTTATTATTGGTTTGACGGTATGCTGATATTTTTACACTTTATTCCTCTGCAATCTTGGGCATGCTTTCTAGACAATAGTAGCATGCTAAAGCTCTAGGAATACAACGATCTAACGAGGGACTTCAGTATATAGGACAAATTACATGAATTTGAATTAATTTTTGTCCCTCTTTTCTTAAAGTGATTGTGAGTATTATGAATAATTCTTGATGAATAAAGTTAATATCTTCACCGTGGAATTTTATTGATCAAAAGATTCATAGAGATTGATCAATAAAGTTCTGATGAGATATAAATGTTCCCTATCAGTATGTAAACTGATGAGACTGTCCCCTTTTTTTTATGAAGTAACCGTTTTCAGATTTATTTGGTTTATCTCCATGGATATCATTGGTCTAGATCAGGATGAACTTCGACCAATGACAAAGGCTCTCGCTACAGTGACCTTACTGAATGGCCAACGAGGCCTTAATCACAGGGTCATTTATTGTGACCCTCCGCACCGCAAATAAGGACCGTTGGGAGATCTTGTCCTAGTGCTTTGTTCAGGCCCATATGAGTATACACATAGTGGTTTGATCTGCAAAGTATGAAGAAAGTATCATTTCCATGTGTGAAAGGAGAACAAAAAAATGACGATATTGTGCCTCAACGAAATACTAAACAATATGTTTCTAAGGAACGACTTATAAAAGTAAATATTTAATATAACAGCACTTGACTTGTTTACGAACCTGCTAACAAGAAATAAAAAGACACTTTTTCAAAAGACAAGAACATGTATATAACATGTCGTTCTATACCTTGAATACAGTAGGACGAAATAATTTGGTAGGACAGGTTCTAACGAAACTTGTGAAAAGTGTAAGCCTTAATATTCCAAAATAACAATGGACAGAGACCTTTGGCTCTGATTATTTGGTCATGGGTCATTACATGAAATGATTGTCAGGAAAAGGAATGTTTGTTGTGTTTATTGCCATGAAAACTTTACATGTCTAGACGGTTGGTTGGTCAGCCAAGGAGCTATGGTCATCCAACCAATTAATCAAAAAAGTCGAGGGGGTCGAACTTTTGTTTATAGTTGATTTAATGGAAGTCCCGCTGTGAGTGTTTGTGGAGGTGTTATTTGTGACAGGTGCATGTGTGTTAAGTACTCAACAACAACAACAGCAGAATGTTGTCATTAGTTACGTTTGTTCAGGGTTAAAGAGACTTTGTAACATTGTTCAGAGGAGGAGAAATGGTACTAAGGTAGTGACTTCAATGCTAGATATACAAGTAAAAATATTCTGAAAGTTTGAGTGAAAACAGACCATTTAAAATTGGGAAAAACTGATCTGATCGATTCCTTAATTCTCCCAACTATATTATTACAATTTAATTACATTGTAAGTGAATTAAAATCTTTACAAAGCAATGAATTGGCTCTAAATTCCATTCCAGATATTTAAGTGTTGACAGATTTTTAAAAGCCTGTCTTATGTCTTATTTTCATGGAAAAACGGTTGGGAAAATTCAAGAATGGTTGGGGGAATTTACTGTTAATCACTGTTAGAGGGTGTCGCACAGTGACACCTTCAAAGAAAACCGTAAATATCTTTGTGGTTTGAGAATTTTTTCGGGATTTTTTTGCATGTTATAGGGTTAGTACAGTAAAAGGAATATAATAGGTAACATTTCATTAAAAAACTACGCAATTTTTTCATCAACCTTCAACAATGTTACCGAGTCACTTTAACCTAGTTTTTTAATTCCCTATTCCCCTAATGTTGCATATTTTAAAATTATTTCCCCTTACTTTTCTGCATCCTGCTAAGCCCCCTGTCACCCCAGAAGTTTCCACCAGAACCCTCTCGTGACATTATAGCCAGCTAAAAGAAGCATAATGTGAATGTGAAGGGTTATAGAACACCTGTAAATAATAGCATCTCTGAGGATTGAAATGGGTGATATAAATATTGCAAAATTGTTTTGGGGTTTATGATGGTACAATGTATAACTCTATTCTCAAATAAAGATTTACCGTACTTGTATTTGAGAGAACTGTTGCTGAGCTAGCGTAGTCTGCAGGCACAGACCCTAATTTGACACTTTATCAAGAAATCATTGTGCCTTGAGAGAAGTCTAGCCCAGCTACCTACTGGTTGTTTCAATATAGGAGCAGCTACAGTACATGGCCTATGGTAGTCTTATAGTGCAGACTCACTTTTACGACTGACCAGGGTTTGTGCTTGCAGACTAGAGCTAGCACCATGAGTGTCCTTGGACGGTGTGTGGCTCTATACGTTTACAATAGCATTATTTAGTAATATCATTAAACTTTCATATTTCACTGGATCATTTCAGCCGACCTACTTTTTTTTTTTTTCAATGATATTTTATTTTCTCCATTGCTTTTCACAAACAATAACAAAAATAACAATAACAAAGTCAATACATAAAATAATCTGCATGTTAATATTATTATATAGAACATGATTTTACATTCACATCTAAATAATACAAATGAATTTTTACTATTTAAATCAAATAAAGCATGAAACATGCACGCATAAAGAAGGCATGAACATAAAAAGACATTTAAGAAAAAGAAAAAGAGAAAGAAAGAAAAAAGAAAAACACACACACACACACACGCACACACGCGCGCACACACACATATACATATATATACAGGGGCGGCGGAGCGACTTCGAAAGTGGGGGGGGGGCACCGAGAAAAAAGGGCACCTAGAAGGGAAATCTCAAAGCGAAAATATACCATTTTTTTGGCATTGGTATATACCCCTACATTTTGATTACAATTATTAGGGATGATTTCAATATTTGTTTCACTTTCTACACCATACAAGATATTGCTTAAGCATCATGCTTTACAGTTGGGTTTGATTGTCTAAAAAAATTGTCTGCGAGCAAGCGAAGTGAGCGAGGAAAATTTTTAAGATGTGTGAGGTCACGGTGCGATAAATTACATAAAGAGGAAAAACCCAATCCTAATGGGTTAATAAGCACATTCTTATAACGGAAGACTGAAAAGACCTTTGATAAGTAACATAAGTATAGATGCGTGCGAGCGTAGCGAGCGTAGCGAGTTAGCTTTGGGGGAAATTGCTCTTAGTCGCTTGAAATTAGCTAGGGCGCGTTTAATGATGAGAGGAAAAGAGGACACTTATTAGGAAAGAAAAGGAGCATGTGCCAAAGTACAAAGAGTAAATATCATAGGTGAAAATGGGGCACTTCTTAAACCCCCAAAAGGTGGCACTCACCAGGGATGAAAAAAGTCAGTCATGAGCATAGGAAATGGGCATTTGTCGACGGAAAAGGGGCCTCCATCAGATCTTGATAGCGGCATTTATAAGAGGTGAAAAGGGGCATTTATGAAAAAGGGATAGGTCCCTTATTAGAGAGAAAAAGGGGCACATATCATTGTTAAAAGGGAAACTATCAGAGGTGAAGAGAGTCAGTTATCGCACTTGAAAAGGGGCAATGACCAGATATGAAAAGGGGCACTTATGTGAATGAAAAAGGGGCACTTGTAATAAAGGAAAATTAGTTGAAAGAAAATGGACACCGATCAGATTTTAAAGGGGCATTTTTCGGAGGTGAAGGGGGCACTTATCTGAAGTGAAAAGGAGTAACTTCTCGTACCTGAAAAGGGTCATTTATCATTGTTAAAAGGGAAACTATCAGAGGTGAAGAGAGTCACTTATCGCACTTGAAAAGGGGCAATGACCAGATATGAAAAGGGGCACTTATGTGAATGAAAAAGGGGCACTTGTAATAAAGGATAATTAGTTGAAAGAAAATGGGCACCGATCAGATTTTAAAGGGGCATTTTTCGGAGGTGAAGGGGGCACTTATCTGAAGTGAAAAGGAGTAACTTCTCGTACCTGAAAAGGGTCATTTATCAGAGAAGGGGCACTTATGAGAAGGGGAATGTGCTCTTTTTTTAATGGGGCACTTTTCATTAGGAAAAGGGGCACTTATTAGAAAGGAAAAAGGGCACTTGTCAAAGTAAAAGAGGCACCTCTCATATTTAAATAGAACAACTATAAGGTGCGCTTATCCGAGTTAAAATGGGAAGGGGCACTTCTTTCAAAGGAAAAGGGGCACTTGTCAAAGTAAAAGAGGCACCTTCAGATTTAAATAGAACAACTATCAGAGCTGAAGGGGGCACTTATCAAAAGTGAAAAGAGGCACTATTCGTACCTAATTAGGGGCACCTACTACAGATTAAAAAGGGCACTTATGAGAATGGAAAATGGACACTTATGCAAAGGAAAATGGGAACTTGTCGAAAAAAGGGGCACGTGTCCAACAAAGGGGCACTTATTAGAGTTGAAAATGGGAAGGGGCACTTTTACAAATTAATAGGAGCACTTGTCAAAGTAAAAGGGGCACTATTCCTATGAAAAATGGGGCACTTCTTAGAAAGTTAAAGGAGCACTTTTCCTATGTAAAAAGGGGCACTTTTCGGGTGCTTGAAAAAGTGGGGGGTACTCTGCACCTCCCCCCCCCCCCCTCCTGCCCCCCGGGAGGGCCGCCTCTGTATATATACGAATACAAGTACGCAATGATGAAAATGCAATAAATTTTAAATAATTTCTACGAATACAAGTACGCAATGATGAAAATGCAATAAATTTTAAATAATTCATTGCATTTCCCCCCAGTCCCCAACAGGAAAAATTCCTCTGTAGGGCCATGCATTATGGTTCAAGGCATGCCCACATAGAAGATTTTTTTATGTTGGGGGTCGGGGCAAAATGCAATGAATTATTCAAAATGTATTGCATTTTCTCTGTTTTTTGGTTTTTGTGGGGGCGTCGACGTACCCTAGCGCCTGCTGCGTACAGTCATGATTCATTGGCTAAGCAATGGCCTCGTTACTAGGAGCCCCCAGGATCAAAACCGTGTCGATGTGCTATATTAGTGCCCTTTTATGAGGTATTAATCCCCATTACTGTCAGTTATGACTTAAGGACATAGGTTCCCTAGTTGATTAGTATAGTAGCACACACATGCTTTAGCAGTCAAGCAAATCAAACACTCCTCAATTGTCATTCAATAAAATCTGAGAATGTATACTATTATCTAGAATAGATCTATTAGGAATAAATCATTGTCAAAATCATTCAATAAATTGGGGTAAAAATAATTATTCCACCATTATGACCAACAGTGTATATTTGCTTACATGTATCAAAATATAATATATATATACATTTATAAACTAGAACCTTGTTTAAAAGGGTATGTGTTTGTGTGCGTGCGTGTGTGTGTGTGTGTGTGTCAATATCCGCGAGAAAATGGGAACAATGATCATGCCATGATGACAATAAAATTACCTGGGTCCGTACATACAGACGAATAATTTTCCCACGAATTCAGTGTCTCCCATTTCTTCACATTCAGTCATGCCACATCCAACGAGAGAAGTTGCAGCCCACACTATCTGTTTGTACCAAAATAAAACATATATATAAAGATAATGATAATAATAATTATAATGAAAATAATAATATTACTAACTTTGATTTAATGTTTTTGTGTGTTTTTTCGTAACTGAAGAATGAAAGGCGGACTTGTTGAAATTGGGTCGTTGTTGATCAATACTTTTAGATAGAAGCTGCATTTGTCACATTTTCAGGAAAGATACAAACTTTAAAATGATCAAACTTTAGTTGTTAATTGTATGTATTGTCAATGGCTAGAACAGGTTTTAGGCTTTGGAACTTACCTGAGTGTAAGGATAACAAAAATCACGGGTACAGTTGTTGTTTTCGAAGTTATAATAATCTGCCATATTATTCCACGAATCCACAAACACAGTAAAATTTGTGTCGGCGAGTCGCATTGGTTAGTCCACTACTGCGCATCACTTGCAAGCTCATCATTCCATCGCTGTAATCAGAGAACGAGGCAATTATAGGATACTTTTGTATTGTTTCATTTATGTCGCTTAATTGCTCAAAATTATATGAAAGAATAAATTCACACAAACTGACAAATTAAGGAATGAAAATGGGATAAGAAGTGAAGAAAAATTGTTCAACATATTGCACTTCAAAATGATAATAAACTATATAGACATCGAAACTGTTACAGGTAAATTTTCCTTTTGGCTGCGTTCAAAGAACTTTAAAATCGTTATTACAGCCATCCTGATGAAACTCTTGCATAATGATGATAATCATAAACAAATATATTTCATAATAAAGTAAGAACAGAAAAAGAGAAACGGAAAGAGAGAAACTGGGGAAGATCGTCAAAAAGGAGAAGAAAGGATCTGTTGAAAAAAAGGAAAATCATAAGAGTGCCATTTTATTTTCTCATAGTATATACATTCATGAAGAGAGCACTGGCTTTAGGCAACCGATACAAATGAGTATGCGAGTGCTGTTTTCGTTGACTTAAAAAGCTTTTGAATGGTAACTTGCGATATTTGGATTACGAAGCTTATAAAAAAAGGAATTACTGGTATCCCTTGTGCATGTTTGAAAAATTATATGACAGGCATAATATGTCAGATATTTGTAAATTCCAAGCTTTCATTTGAATCTGTTATAACATGTGGAGTCCCAAAATGGTTCATAGTCTAATACCTCTGTTCTTTTATTATTTATATAAACGACTTAGTTGAATGTGTCAAGTACAATTACATGCCGTTTCTGTAGAACTTTGCAGGAATCATGAATATGCCATGTATGTCCTAGCTGTGGAATGTAAACGTTAGCAGTGTCCTAATATTCAAATTATGAAAGGAAACTGGCTTTTTTCTTCTTTGGTAATAACATACATAAAATGAGCTGAACAGGGTACATGATCATTTGTCTACATCAATAACCCACTTTTTGTAATGGCCAAAATATAACTGATTGAATCTTTGCGCAGCATAAAACGTATGACCATTCGGTACAATGGTCTGAAAATCAGACTATTACTTACTGGCTCTATAGCTCTTAAGTCGATTCGACAACTAATGTATGCGACCGTCATTGTTGGTCAAACAGTTTTTGAGCGTCAAGTAACGCCTGGCTGGAATGCACCCCAGGGAGTGGAGATTGTGCACACAGTGTGTGCCAGCAAGCACTGAATCCAATGACCGGGGTAATAGTATATTTGTAAAGCGCTTATAGACATTTGTATTAAGCGCTATATAAAAGCTAAATATTATTATATTTTTGATCAATGTAATCCTGTTCAGCGATTGGTCAACATAGCATCATGTGACCAAACATAACATTGCTATGATTTAACCGTGACGTCATCCATGGTATAGTGCAAACTATACCATGGCACTATACCACGGATGACGTCATATATATGCGATCGATCAAGATCAATGTGCTATCGGTCGCGGTCGCGGTACTGTCGTCTGCGCTGCTCTCATTGCACTCTACACTACTTCAGTGCGATTAACATAATTTATTATTATTATTATTATTTTCATGAAGGTTGGTTTGAAAAATGTTAAACAAATATATCATGCACTATTTCAAGCCACTAGTTAAAATTATGGATTCCTCGGCAACAGAAATGGCACTATTTTCTTCGGGGCTACGCCCCTCAGAAAATAGTGCTATTCCTGCCACCTCGATCCATAATTTCAACTAGAGCCTCTCAGTGCATGGTACATTTGTTTATTATTATTATTATTATTATTATTTTCCCATTTAAAGACATTTTCAAGCCCCCCCCCCCCCCCCTTTTTTTTTTTTTAGGGAAGTTCTAAATTAGTATTATCTTTCAAATGCCGTTGGAATTTGACCTTTTCATTTTTTTGGCCTGCGAATGGGACATAGTACCTTTAAGTGCAATTGTCAGAAAATTGTATTGTATCCTTTTAGGAAGCAGCCATAATGATGTCAAAGCAAACTACACAACACTCCTTTAAATCAAGTTCGGCATTTTAAGTACCTTGGTCTGATATATGATGAAAATTGAAATAGGAAGTTGCATATTGAAACTATTTTGAAAAAGATTGGGAAAATGGTAAGCTTTCTTGGAAGATTAAGACGTTCGTTAAGTGAGTTTGTTTTTAAATTAATTTACAAAATAATCACTAATTCTTCCTCAATCTGATTACAGCTTTCAAGAAATATACGGATAAACTACAAATATCACAAAATATTAAGAATAAAACCTGAATCCCATGTTTTGGTTCTTGAGTTACAAACGCCTTAATAGACTGGCAATTCTTAGTAAAAAGAAGACATGATCACTTTTTTGTAATAACATATCAAATATTGAATGACTTAATCCCTGCCTATTTAGAAAAATAAATTTGAGCCTGTAACTCACCCCTACCCTTCGCGCCTCGGAAATAAATATACGATTACCAAAGCCACCAACAAAATCTTTGAAAAGGTCATTCAAATATAAATTTATGCAAAGGCGTTTAATGCTCTTCCTATTGATCTTAAATCTTCTACCAGTGTCACTATATTTAAATCGAAAATTTCTGCCCTATAGAGTCGGAGATTACGAAGCACTGTCCTTATTAATATCATATGGTCATTTTGTAAAACGACATCCACCCCTCTCCGATTATCTTTATTGCCTGTCTCCTTTTGTTTTTCTTTGATATTGTTTAAATTGGTTCAATTATATTTTACTGTTCGTATATTGTGTACTTTGCGTTGCTGTGGACCCCTCTGAAAACCAGCGATAACATGTCGTTGTTGCTGAGCAGGGCTATCCAACAGTGCTGGGGTTATAATAACTATACAGTGCGTCCCAGAAAAAACGAAACCGAGATTTATCGATGTTTTATCATAACTTAGTCACATTTATAATTAATAAATGACACATATTTGGAAAGCTTAGATCCTCCTCTTTTATTTGATGCAACTCACCTGATGTATATTTCATGAGTGATTTAAATGAATTTGAAGAGAGGAAACCAAAAAGTCATTTGGCGGACGATATCTGAATTTCAAAGGGAAAATCATATTTCTAGAAAGTTGAGTTTCTGCCCTTTCATATGACACCTCAATCACGAAAAATGAGCCAGGAATAACAAAGTTCTGTATGTTTAAAGTAGTGCTTGCATTTCCATAATTTTATCAAACGAATTCGTTTTCACTGGCTGCCTGCCGTAGCAAAAAACAGAATGGTCAAAAGACTTAACTCCGTTTCGTTGACAATGAGCCATGCATGAAGTCTTTCGTCTACGGCCGATTGTCAACGAAACGGAGTAAGGTCTTTTCTTAATTCCGTGTGTTGCTAAGGCAGGCAGCCAGTGAAAATGAATTCGTTTGATAAAATTATGGATATGGTGTTATATGAAAGGGCAGAAACTCAACTTTCTGGAAAAGTGATTTTCTCTTTGAAATTCAGATACCGTCCGCCAAATGACTTTTTGGTTTCGTCTCTTCAAATTCATCTTAATCACTCATGCGTGAAATATGCATTATATGAGTTACATCAGATAAAAGAGGAGGATCTCAGCTTTCCAAATATGTGTAATTTATCAATTATAATTGTGATTAAGTTATGATCAACAGGCGCGGATCTACGGGGGGGAGTTTAGGGGGGTTTAAACCCCCCCCCCCCCCTTGGGCGGCCCCCCCCCCCCCAAAAAAAGGGGAAAAAAAAGGAAGAAAAAAGAACGCACGCTGGAGAGAAACCCTTTCAAGTGCAAATATTTTGAGAAGATATTCAACTCATCTGGTAACTTAACCAAACACATGATAACTCTGGATATAACTGTGTATTAAACTGTTACTTGATTTAAAAAGACGTTATCATGCACTGCTTTTTATGGTCTCCATTGTGTTAATAGATTCCAGGAAAACATCACTTACGGGGTTCAAATAAACACCCCAAAAAAAATCGGCTCGCCGCTTCGCGGCTCGTGGACGATGCTCCGCATCGTCATTATTTTGGTCAAACCCCCCCCTTAGCAAAAAGCTAGATCCGCCCCTGATCAAACGTCGATAATTCTCGGTTTCGTTTTTTCGGGGACGCACTGTATAGGGTCCTATATAGGGAATAACAGCATTCTTGCTGATAAGGCCTCTCTGAATGATAACAAATAATGATAATAATAATAATGATAATACATGTAATAATGATAACAACAATAACAATAATAATAATAGTACATGTATTTATTATTATTGTTATTATTATTATTATCATTATTATCAATTTTAACAAATTTTTCCCAAGACGGCTGCCATGCTAATTATAGCTGGCCAAGCCTATTTATTCACATATATTGTGCTATGTGAGTATGCTGATGCAATGTATGACAAAACAATGATTTGTATCACTTAAGAAGCTATTTAAACAAAATGTATATCACAGGCTGTTTAAAAAAATATTTTTGATGGCTTTTTTTGTGGATTTTTTGTGTGTGGCTTTAAATAGTAAATAGTGAAGAAAAAAAAGAAAAAAAGGAGGCAGCGGCCGAAAAGGAGGCGGGCAGAGACTAGAAACACTTCGTTTTAGTTATTTGGTATAATGTTGGTCCAGTGTTACGAATTCGGTCAGTGTAGGAAATTGACATGGAGCCAGTTTCGCAAGAGCAAGTGCAGGTGTCGCAAGATCAGCAAGTATCGTATATATAAAAACTTACCAGAGCTAACATGTTTGCAGCAGGTGGTTGTACATCACTACGGTACTGGTTATGTTGAGCCACGATTTGTGATTTCTCATCGTCGGTGAGTCCATTACCACCCTGTAAGACTGCCAAAACAAGCACGAGACGCAATGCACAGATCATGATGATGGTGTGGTGTTGTGTGGTGTGTAGGTATAGGTAGACACTGCTCAGATAATATGAAACAGCTCTTGGGATGCTTACGTTTATATTAGGTCTGGTTACCTACTCTCGGTCCCGGAGAAAGGCAATTTCAAATTCGGAAGATTAATTGATAATATGCGTGATA